AGAGAGAGAGAGAGGAGAGAGAAATCCCCAGCAGCCGAACCAGTCGTTGCATATCTCTAGAGGATGGATCGCGTGTTGAGTATTTCCCTAAAGTATTGCGGTGCGGGAGATGTGGCTTGTTTTCTCCCGTCCATGTTTTCCTGTCCAGCAGGATGTGTGCCCCCAATTTTTAGGCCGGCTCGCACCTGCCGCCACTGGTTAATTGCTATTGGGCGCTCTATGTCGGTACCAGCACAGCTGGCCTTTGCTCTAGCGGTGTTTACTAAGTAAAAGGACTCGAGTAGCTGTGACGGCCTGTGCGCATCAGCGGGGCATAAGGTGTATTACTTCGCGTCACTGTACAACATAGATGGTCTATTCTTTTCGGCACTACGGGGAACATCGCACTCCTGTGTCTCCCCAATATCCGTCTATGCCACGTTTCTTGTTACAGCGAGCGGCATAGCCTTTTGTTTCAACCATTGAAATTCCCGATTGGACGTTGATGACAGGTAATCTTACCACCGAGAGACCCAAAGCAGCACCTGCTTAGCAAGAATTAGCTCAACAGGAGGCGACCGACCGACATGCGATGTAAACTTTAACACATCGACTGAACGGTATTGCATCTGGCCCTATATGGCTATATATATACGACATATATACACTAAATATGACAAGACAACTAAGCAAAAAACTGCCTCCTGCTTATTCTTAAGCAGAGTCGCCTCGCAGACTAAAATTTACCCAGAAGACTCCAGCCGATGACGGACGCCTTGGCCGCGAAGAGGGCCACCAGGGAGCCGACATACAGGGCGGCCGTGAAGACGATCAATCCCCAGTACTCGCCGCCGTCTATGATCAGGATCTTGCCAGCAATGGGTATTCCAACCAGCGTTGCGACCGAGACGGCAGTGTAGCACGTTGCATAGTAACGCCCGTAGTTGGTCGTGGCACAAAGGCGGCCGATGCTGACGGGAATAAGACTGATGTTGCTACCGCTGGTGAAACCGAACAGCAGGGCGAAGAGGACAACGGGCGCCGCCGCTGCGCTGTTTCGGTCGTCGCCGTCACTAGAACTAACGAGGGTCGAGTCGAGCATCGACGTTGGCAGCCAGATGACGAGGCACGACACAATGGCGAGAATAACGGCAATGATGTTGGCGTTGAAAGGACCGATCTTGTCGGCATACCAACCCGGCAGCACCCGCCCCACCACAGACCCAGCGTTGAGGATAGTGACGACCTGCGACGCGAACGAGGCTGAGAAACCACGCGAGAGTGTGTATGTGGAGATGTAAGTCAAGGGGACAAACAGCGCAAACTCGAGCAAGAACACGCCCAGTGTCGTCAGCGCAAATGGGACGTTGCGGAAGATGCGCACGTCAGGGTGCGTACTGGCATCCAGCGCCGGCGCCAAACGCGATCGCAGCAAGATGTTGGACAGGCCCGACAAGATCAGCGACACCAGTGCAAGGGTCCGGATGCCCCAGCCCCATCCGACTCGATCAAAAAGGCTCTGTAGCATCAGCGGGATACACACGCCACCGAGTCCACCGCCGGTGGATGCGATGCCGGTGGCAAAGCCCCTTCTCGCGGAGAAAAAATGCCCGATGGCGGCGATGGACGGTGTGAAGAGCAGCGCCAGCGCCAATCCATTCATCAGACCAAAGACCAAGATGAAATGCCATAGTTCTGGAGACGGGACGGCGCTATTAGCCAAGATCACTGTAAAGTGTGAGAGCGTAAGAGGCAGATATACCCACCTGTGCAAAAGCTCAACAACACAAGGCTGCCAACAAGACACATCGTGCCGGCCAGCACAAGCCAGCGCGGTCCATACTTGTCGAAGACGGGCCCGATATAGACTCCCGCGAAGAAACACATGAAGGCGTTGAGGGAGAAGATCCAGCCGATGGTGGATTGGCTCTGCTCCATCAACTGGTGCGTAGACACATATGTCTGGAACGTTGCCAGGCTATTCAGGATCCCTAGTGACGAGAACAGAGCCAGCCATGCCCCAAGAACGACGAGCCAGGCTTCCAGTCCGCCCTCGGGGAATGTCTCTGCTGGCGGCTGTGCTACCGGGCCGCCTTCTGTCGAACCGGGTGCTTCGATGCTAGATGCAACAAAGTTTGTCAGGGTCCTGGCGCACGGTTCAACATCCGAGTTGGCCGCCGGTCCATGTGTGTTCGTGACGGTTGCTGCGTACCCGATGACTCGTATTTCTTTTTCGCTGAGATAAGCTGCTGTACTGGAAGACGCAAAAATATGGTCGTGGCCGCCGCGGACGTAATCCGAGCCAATGCCGACGCCGGCATCGCTGTTACTCAACACTCTGGACGCCATCGCCCGGACATTACTCCTTGACCTGTTCTTCTCTGCGTCGTCTATCATGGTTCCCCCAAACCTGGTTTTTGCCTTCTATCCATCGATGTACGAGGCGGCAACCCGACCAAGTCTTTCGTACCGTTCGATCTATCCGTAGTCGATTTATTCTTCGTGGCGGGGTGGAAAGGGAGATGTGAAATTTGAGGCGGCAGGAAGAGTAATAAACCAAGGAAGTTTTGTTTCCGAGGCAAACATGCGCGGGAGGGGATAATAATATGTAACCCGAAACCGTAAAGAGAAAGACAACACCATACACTTTGAGAAGGAAGAGGTGGGGTGCAGCCGGAGTAACGATAAAAACGAAGAGAAATTAGAAAACAGAAAACAGAAAAATGGACACGAAGAAAAGAACGAAAGCCAAATTTAAAAAAAAAAATAAAAAAAAAAAAAAAAAAAAAAAAAAAAATAAAAGAAGTCAAGGTTGCAAAACAAAACTCATACGGGAGCAGACGCCTGGTTCGTGGAACAAAAAACCATGGCGTGGACGAATACAGAAGGCACGGGCATAATTGGAAGGCTCTCCTTTCTCCGTATGGCATACAGATATGACTTGCGTCCTGGTGGATACTCTATTTTTCATATATACTGCTCGACTCTGCTCTTTTTCTGTTCTGTTGCACATACATCGATCCCAGAACGGGGCAGTATTCCGGAATCTAACCCGCCCATGCGATGTTCCATCATGCAAATGGGGTTTTGCGTGTGATCACTGGCGGATGGCGTACTCGAATAAGCCCGCATTGCCTGACCCATCTGCAGCCCTTTGCTTCTCCCTTTGATTTTATTACGTATTTTTTTTTGGTTGTTTTCCTTCTTTTGTGCTATATGCTAGTTTTTTTTAGCAGCCCGTTATGGGCCAGTTGCCGAGACAGTAGTTAAGTTACCGTACACTGTCCTGTCGATCTCCTGCGAGCTTTAAGATTTGCGAGAGCGAAGGGGAAATCGAGAAATATACCAAACAAAATACAACCGACGCCCAACACGCACTTTACAAACGGCAGAGAAATGTCGTTGCGTTATGTTGTGGTTATGTGAGAGCATTCGGTCCCAGCAAAGAGCAAGCAAACGGTTCCCAAGCAAGTCTCCAAGGAAAGTCTCCCATATGTAATGCCAACGAGGGTGTATGTACCACACCATTCTGGCCCCCACCCTTCAAAGCTGGGCTCCTCTGTTACTGGTTTTATGTATGTCGTATCAATTGTCCAGGGAAACCCAGTGAATCAGTTAAATTTCATACATCCGCCCACAGAGTCGGATGACGATTTTTTTTTTTTTTGAGTCCTAGCGCGTATTGCTTAAATTTATGTCACTACCAATAGTATATGGACACTACAAATCGTACATAGTCACCTCATGACTGTTTATGTGCTGTGCTGGTCACATGTTGTCCGTATTTTAAACATACACACACAACATTTAGTCTTGCTCATGCTGCCGGGTGTCATAACCAGCCCCCACGAGGCACAATGCTCGGTGACTTGTGTTCCATGCTCTCCATTGCCACGACGGCTCAAACTTCCCATCCGGCAAGCACGTCATCAAAATTGCGGTTCTCACCAACGAACGGGCGTCCCGGGGTACAACTCATACGCCTGACTCGCTCAACAAGCACGGAGTGCTAACGACCGACAATTGTCAAAACTGGAGGACATGGCACGAATGCACCATGAAATTCTTGGTCGTCTCCGGATGGAAAGGCATCCACAGAAAAGGTGGGTCTAAGGTGCCTTCTCATCTTCGCATGGAGACGTTGCGCTTGCCAGCAGGACCGAAGCTGGCCAGCGAAGGAATCTGTCGTGAATGATGGCAAGCACGGCTGCACAGCAACATACGTCGCATGTGCTATTGCGCTGCTTGTTTGTTCTTGGTATGATTCCATCCAATGCAGTGTTGTGCTCATCCTTCCTCGTCTTCGGCGTCCTCCACTGTGGCATGGTACGCCCCTGGTCCACTCGCGCGAGACTGTTGAGACGCAGCGGGCTCTTTCGTCTTTATTCCACCGCTGTAGTTACCGTGGCTGTCGGTAAGTTTGTCGTCACTGCTAGCCGCCGGTATGGAACTCTTAAGGTAGCCTTCCCTCTCGAGCTGATCCGCCTCTTCCGGCTCTAGCAACCCGCCCATGCCTCGGCTCTTCTCCAGCTTTCGTCGCACGACTGTTGGCATGAAGGCCGACACTGCTTCTTTTTGCAGGTCTCTGACAACGGGTTTCGCTTCGTAGACCGTCTTAACCTCAACAGGCTTGGGCGGAGCAGTCGACGAAGCAGCCGAAGGAGTTGATGACTCCCTGCCCGTTTCGCTGCGGCCCTCACTGCGACCTACACTGCGGCCCTCTCCCAGTGGCTCCGAGTTGGCATTAGCGTTCCTCTTTGCACGTCGTTTAGCATACCAATCATCGAGGTATCGCTTCGGTATCGGTGGAGGTGTGTCACGTGGCATCGGGATGCTTCGAACGTAGTCTGGCACGTCACTGTCCGTGCTGTTGTCGCTGTCGTCGTCGCGTCGCCGTTTCCTACCAAAACCATCATGCCTGTCGCGTCCGTCATGTCCGCCGTGTTTGTCGTGTCTGTTGTGTCCACGATGCGGCACATCGGTACGACCAAATGTCGGTGCCTTGTCGCCCAGGGCCTCCCGCGCCTTTATCACAGCTTTCAATTCCGCCTCAAGGCCCTCCAGCACTTGCTCTTCGTGTGTCGTGAGCTTTCCACCGCCTTCTGTAATGGCTTTGAGATCCTCAACCTGCTTCCGTATCCGGTCTGGGTTCTTCTTGCTCAGCCGCTCATTGCGTGCTGCTGCAACATGGGCTTTCCCTAATCGCAAAAAGTATACCAGTTAGCCAGACTGTCGTCAGTGAACCAAAAGTGAGAGCAATACAAATGCGCACCTTTCTTGATAGCCTTTGCCTTATCAGCCTTCCGCTGGGCCTGCACCGGGTTGTAGTTCTTTTCTTTCTGCATTGTTGACGAGCTCCAATCAGTGCCGAAAGTGCGCTCGGAAGGTGCTGGGAACGAAAGTAAGAGCTTTGAGCGTTCAGGCACGGGGCTTGGGCTCCTTGTTCTTCAGACCGTATATGGACTAGCGCTCCTATATGGTTAGTCATTTCTCATCTCATATCGACTACTCTGAACAATTAGTTACAGATAGATCACGTGATAAATCCCCTCTTCCCAGGGCTAGCGCGCACACAATTACATCCAAACTTTTTGAAAGCATCCAAAAATTTTACGACGACCGCTACCGAAACGCCTTGTGTCCCGATCACAACTTTCCGACAACCACACAACCTCCACGTTTCGGCAAACATTCACATCGCAAAACCGCAAATATGGGCAAAGTTCACGGCTCCGTATGTTCTTCCCGCTTTGTTTCCTGGCTACAGTTAACTGGCTTCGGTACCCTTTGTCTTCTCTGGAATATAATATGCTGATGTTTGTTTTTCACTCTCTAGCTCGCTCGTGCCGGCAAAGGTACGCCTTATATTTGGTTCCCGACGTCGACATTCCGCTTCCTTAGATGAATTGACGGCCTTCCGATTTTGTTTTTGCTATACGGTCAACTAACATTTCCACCCTTTCTTCCAATAGTCCGGTCGCAGACTCCCGTAAGCAACCCTTAACCCGAAAAACTTGGTGACTCGAAAGGGGAAAACCTTCGGCCACTTCAAAGCGAATCGCAAGTCGGGACATGATAGAACAAGCGAGTAAAAAAAGGCAATGCCAGGCGGGATTCGTACCACCGGACCCGACTATGGCGCTCGAGCAGTCGATACGCTCGAGGGTCATTGGTAGAAGCAAAACGTTGCAACCTCGACTTCTCGGCCCACATGCCGACTTGGATGTCATGGCAAGCGACTTCCACAACGCCGTAACTCGGCTTTGTTCTCTACGTCCTTTGGCCTGCGAGGATGCAGACTTATCCCGAAAATGGGGCGACCTTGGATTTTTGACTGGACGGAGTACTGACGCACCACAACAGAAAGTTGAGAAGCAGGAGAAGAAGAAGACGCGTATGTTCCCGGCCCCTACCTACACACTAGGATAATTCTGTGCAGGTCTCTTTAGCCAGCACCAGCAGATATCAGACGATACTGACTTTTGAATAGCCAAGGGCCGTGCCAAGAAGCGGTTGACGTACACCAGACGTTTCGTGAACGTCACCCTGACCGGCGGCAAGCGCAAGGTACGAACAAAGCCTAATATGGCATCAATCATGGAGCCAAGCGGCCGGCATTCGGCGGGCAACCTACCTTCCGTGGCGACCGACCTTGTTTAAATGGTAAATGCTAACAATGACGTCCACTACCGACAGATGAACCCCAACCCCACCGCATAAAGCAGAAAAATGGTCACCATTTTCTTTTGTGTTCTGCTCTCTCATTTATGTTGTTTCTTTTCCTTTTGTCTGGCGATTTTGGACCCCAGCTCATCTCGCTCACTCACGCTTCCGCTGTCCTCTTCGAGATATTGAATAGTGGCTAAGTAGACGGAACAACAATGCGGATGGACAAGGATGAGATATTAAGGGAGAGGGTCAGGCTCGGGTTATTCAGTCTCTTTTAAGGAAGACGGCCATGTAGCCTGCGAATCAAAACCGATTTAACCTAGGAAAATACAAAAAATTATAAACCAACAGCCGACTTGCCGATCCTTTGGTGTCCTAAGGAAGATCTCCGGTGTCCCATTTGCGACACAATAGGAGGTTCTACGCCGTAGCGAAGAGGTCACGAAAGGGCGAAATTGTGACAAGATTCAGTGATGAGACATCACACGTGGAAAGTGTCGTGTCATTTTTATGCGCAGACACAGTATGGAACAATAAGTCCTGCCTCATGTGGGACACTAGGTAAAAGTTGGTTGTAAAATAAGTGAAACAAATTAACTTTCAAAGCCAGCCAGTATTTTCCTTGGGCAACGATCCAGCCTCCCTTACATTTTCCCCTTACATCGCACCGCCTCTTCTTTTAACGTGAACAGACCAGCATAAGTCGAAATGTGACGGGCAACTAGGCCACGAATAGAGATTTGTTAACATGACCAATAGTGTTACGGACGCAGCAGTGGTTCTCGGCATACACGAGGCGTCTCGCATTATTTGAGTAGGGTCGGGGAAAGATGAGTCTCCTTGCAAGCTCGACGTCCGATGGACAAACTGTAGGTGAAGAAGAGCAAAACAGAGGTCAAATAACCTTAACGAACGCATAGGTTTTGGCACGTCCTGCAAGCGCTAGTTCTTTTAAGTCGAGGTTTAAGGACCACGACATTGATTTACACGTCCAAGTGCTACAACCATTGCATCACCATGCACGGTAGTGTAAAGCAGTGTGGATAGAAAAGGATACAATTGTACGCAGATGAAAAAATCCAATAAACTCCAACAAGAAAAAAAACCCACCCTTGGAAACCATGGACGTCCTTAACAAAGCCCCAACCCACCATAATTTCGCTAATGATGCTTTGAAATAGATTCTGAGTATATTGTATCGTCATCCTTTTGACGTAGCTCAAAAAAGAAGACAAAAGAAATGTGCGCCGATATTAGCCGGCTTCGTTATGAGTAACACGATAGCACCAGATGTAAGTGAATGTGAATAGATGATCGTTAACAGGATGAAACGTGGAACATGAGCCGTGTTAAACATAAAACCGTGTGATTCCGAAAGACGTGACAAAATAGGAAGGAAAATCTGCCGTAGAGGTGGTGGAAAAAAGATCGTGATCTATCAATGGCTGCGGCGAACAAACATGCGACTGAGGAGAGGTCCTTTTTGGTGGTGGCGAGAGTGGTCCGACGACGACCGAGGTGACGAGGAGTTCTCCCCTTCGTGAGGGCATTCAACCCCGCAGCCGTAGTGGCAGGCATCTGCGCTCGACGGATCAATCGTTGTGGTAGTAGAAAAAACTGTGCTTGCACCCACAGTCGTAGCAATAGAGAAATTCGACGAAGCGCTATGGTTCGTCTTCCGGTCGTTATGACCATTGGTGTCTCTGGGCTTGGTCGACGACACAGAGTGCTTGGAGCTTGATGGGACCTCACGAGCCTGTTCCGTCGTGCTCGAGGTGGCCATTGGCATCTCACCGTTGCGGGTGCGGCGGGTAAAAAGATTGCGAACAAATTTGCGAACAGTGTCACCCTCCTCGTCTGAATCGTCCTCGAACACTGAGCATTGTGGGGCATTTCCTGAAGTTTGCGAGGGCTGTGCTTTTGGCGCCCGGTTCTCTGCATCTTGTGAACCTTTGGCTGTTGATGGACGTTGCATGTTGGATCCGCGCAGGCTGAACGAGGAAGCACGGTGAGACAGCCGAGGTCCAGCAATGGCAGCGTCGTCATAGAAAGCGGTTCCCGCGGCACGAGAAAGGGACCGTGAGCGGGCACGAATGTTTCCTAAAGAACGGTGCGAACGGGAAAGTTTGGGGACACCATGGCGCGCCTCCGACTCAGCCGGGAACTGCTCCAGAAGCTTCTTGTGCCGCCGAAGCTCCTCTTCCCACGGGCTCCCCTGTCCCTGTGGCTGGGACTCTTCATGGGGCCTCGTCTCCATCAAGGGACTTGTCACTTTCGGACTGAAAATTGGACTGAGACAGTCAATTGGTGGCCTGGAAGGTGGTGGTGGTGGTGGCATAGTCGGATGTGGAGGCCGGGCATCATTGTTTGCGAATGATGGCGTGGGAGGCATCGCAGGAGTCCTGGGCGTTGGCGGCAAAAGTTTTGAGAGCTCTGGAGCGCCTGGTAGAGGAGGAAGCGGCCCTATTGGTGGCGGGCCGGCAGCGTCCCGGAGCTGAGGTGAAGACCGGCTGGCCTTGAGTGTTCTTGGCGATGGCGCAGAATGTGCCTGCAACCCTTGCTGGGGAAGTGGCAGGGGCGGCATGGGAGAAAGACGAAGCCTTACCGGTTGCTTAGAGTGCGGCTTTCCCGCAATCTTAAGCTGCCGTTGTTGACGGCGCTGTCGTAGATTTGAAACCGCTTTGGCTTCGTCTTCCGTCATGCCCACATACGGCAGAGCCGGCTGCTTGACCATGTTCCCGTGAGACGCGTTATTTTGGTGCGCTTTATTCCAATTACGAGCAGCCTCTATCTGCTCATCCTCCTCTGGAACCGAAGACTCGATGACGGTATTCTGGAAGCCCTTTGGCGCGGAGTGCGAAAAGGCGCGGGCTCGGGCCGTTCTGCCGGGTACAAAAGTTTGATTCGGCACCTTGGATGGGGAAGGAGGCAGCGCCTGGGTTGCCAGGCCGGCCTTTGATGACATTCCTTCCGGGGGCGACTGAAGCAAAAGAGAGTTGTTTGGTGATGTCGGTGACATAGCTTCTGGTGTGGTTGAGGCTGACCAAGTTGACGGGGCTTCCGTAGCTGCTGTGTAGTTTGATATCGCTGAACTTGTGCTGCTTTCGCTTCCGCGCCTCTGTGAGTTTGGGGGCGCCAGGTGACCGTGCTGTGTCCGCGCCTCCGCCGGACCTAGGCTGCCATATCGGCAATGGCCTGCGGGCAGTGCAGATACCGGCTCACCTTCCACGTACGCGTCCCAGCTGCAAGGGTTTTCGTAAGACTGTGATCGGTAGTGAAAATTCGTGTTGGCGTACTTGCTTCCGTTTTGATCAACCATGTGGTGGCCCCGGGGTGTCGGGTGCGCAAACAGGGTTCCAGCTGAACCCGGGCGTTGGCTGACGGAAAGACGATCCTGGACATAAACGGCGCCGCCGGCAACCTGTCTATAAGCAAGAAGCTCCGATGCCGCCCGTCTATGGTTGTAGTCGGCCATGTTGGGTATGTATTCAATGTGCGATTTGTTTGCAAGCACGAGAGAGCGCGATAGTATACAGTTCCGGGCTGCTTTCAAGAGAGCGTCACTAGAGGCCGTTCCTTAGATATGACGAGAGCACCAGCCAACCAGGGCAAAGTGAGTCCAAATCGAAGTCAGCGGACAAGACTGCCCGAGAAACATTGCCTGTGCGGACGTAAGGCGTTGCTGTGAGAACGACAGTGAAGGGCCCAAGTGATAATTCGTCGGCGGTAGGCGAGATCTGTAAATGAGATAAGCAGAAGACAGAAACAGGAGAAAAGAACGAAGAGAGAATTCCTGAACCCGACCCTTGACCAGAATAACACTATTGGGGAGGACGTCCGTCTTAAGTGCCGAGTCAAATGGGGATCCACGGAAAGCAAACAGAAAATCTCGTTTTACCAGCATTCTCCACACAAAACACGCTGCTCCTAATGTCTAGCCTGAGTGGTGGGTTGCTCTGATCTTGACGGGGTCCCGCACATGCAAGCATTCGAGTGCCATACGCTGATGGGTGCGCGAAGTCAATCAAGTAAACAGAAGAAGGTGGCAGGAATGCAGGCTTACAAAGGCGTGGTGGTACGCTCTCCAGGACGGAGGCAAACCCAAAAAGGGAGGGCGAAGGGAGAAACAAGCCTGGCTTCACTCGTCAAGCCCTTGTGGCACTTACTTCTTTTTCATTTTTCCCCTTTGTGGTCCGGCCAGGTCTCGTATCGTCCCTCCCCACCGATATCGTAAAGCGAAGGTGCCCTCTCGCGGTTTCTGCTTCCCTTCCTCTCCAGGGAGCTGGCGCCCTTGAGGTTAGCAATCCCATCCTTCTGGCATCAAGGACGATCTTGGATTTGCCGGGCCCACTGTGCCTGTGGATCCAGCCCTCGACAGAGCCTCCAAACCTCACTGGAAGAGTAGCAATTACTTCTTTGGAAGATCAAGGTATCGTAAGCAACATGCCTCCACGACGGGAGGCTTTCCGCGCAGTGTCGTCCAGGGTATCCTATTGAGAAGGCAGGAGAGTTTCTTGTTCTCTGATCCGTCAACGTCACACTCGCGGCTCAGGCGAGCTGTGCAGAGTCAAAAACGCGAGAGCAAACCTATTCGTACTCTGTTTGACTGTGCATCAATGCTCCGCAGCCATACGTAGCTAGTTAGGGGGTGGGTGCATAGTGCAAGGGTGTGGATGTCTCTCTAGCTTGGGAGCCGTGCGAGTGGGTCGCGGCGATGGCGAAAGGTTGGAAAGCACACGAAGGGACGCAAGAAAAGAATCAAGCAAAAAAATTATACATAAAAAAAAACAAGAGTGGAAAGTGGAAGCCCACCGTACTGCAAGTCTCTGTAAGAACGTGGTGGAGGAATGCTACACGGGCGATCTGAGCACCACTAGGAACAATTATCCTGCCAAACAGCGCCAGCAGAGTAAACAGAGCGCGTATCATGTTTGTTTACTTTGTATATCGTACCCGTCCATTATTTTTGATCTGTGGCGAGATGGGGGCGAGACACGCCGTACTGTATAAACCGGATACCATTTCCTGATGACATGAAAGTACGGCGTGCTCTTTGTGCCCGCGCCCCAGGGAAGAGAGACCAGGCGACTTTCTCAGTACGGAGTACATGAAAGCACGCCCAGCTAGCCCATAATGCTATGGTCGGTGTCGCACACATGCATTACCATGCTGTCGCCAGTTAGCAAACAGCAAACATGAGTATGTCGTACGACGCACGGGATTAACAGCGTATGTTGTAATGCGACTTTCTCTGCAGACTCGTCAAAATGATGAGGCCGGACACCCTTACGGAGCACATTTGCTAACCTGTTCTCTCGATATAGTTAGCGACTCTGGGGATCTCCTGATGGTGAATGTGTGTTGTTGGCAACCCACCAAGGGCTGGAACTCCGTTGCTGACGTCTTGCTTGTCCGGTCCTTTTGTATATCTTCACGTTATCCTCTTCTCTGTTCGATCCGGCGGCTCCTGGAAGCACTCAACCAAGCGGCCGTCATCGTGTATGAAGCAATACGATACAAGATACCGTACATTCGAATCATCGAATCGAGAACAAAAGGCAAACCTGCGTACGGGGGCTGAAGCAAGGAGACTGGTGCAAAAGGGAACGACTGCCATCAAAGCCAGGGAGGTGGTAAGTAAAACGGACAGAGGTGAGGAGGGAGAGAAACACGAAAAATGAGGATCGCACTAGAACCAGGGAAAGGGCGACGCGGGACACTACCACAAGCTAAGCTAGAACTAGAGCTCTTGGTTGCGCGTTTGGCTTGCTCCCTGAGCTCCCACAACTGATGGAGGAAGGCGCGGTGTGTCGCTTCACGGCAACAGGGCCAAATTAGGTAAGAACAAGTCCACCTTCTGCTGGGACGCGTCAGGCAGACGAATCAAAGATGAGCATAACGCTGCAATGGAATGTCGCGTTGGCTGCTGGCGTGTCTACAAAGTAGTTTCGACTTCGTGAATATACTCAGCACAAAACCAAACTCCAATGTGTTTTTGACTCCGTGTAGGAGACCACCTGTGGCCCTCCGAAAGAAACACACACAAAAAAAATTGACAGCAGTTGCCGTTTATCCTCTCCTGCGCTGTCTCGCATGTTTATTTGGATAGTGCCTTCAAAGTCCACATCACCACTGTGTGGCGCTCGTCACTGTTGGTCTGTCAAATCCTTCCTCTGGGAACATCCTTGTAGGGTCATTACCGCTCGCTCTTCTAACGTCACAGCGACCTCCAGTCGCCGATCGCACCGCCGCAAATTGAGGGCAGGGCTCGAATACCTCCGACGGCCGAGACACAGTGCACATCGCGATGTTCGGAATTGCCTTGCGGGTACAATAGGAACAGCAACGCTCTCTGGAACCGAATTGGCGCCATCGAGTCTAGTAGCGTGAGGCGCCCAATCCCGTCGTCCAGTTCGACGTTGTTTGTGTACTGTACAACCTATAAGTCATGTCTCCTGCCACCGATCCACACCTTTCCCGGTGTGCAACCAAGTGCAGCGGCGAAGCTTACTTGTCCAGACTTGTGAGAGAGAGGCTCGATTTTCTCGAGATTCTTCACACATACGGCGTTGTATCTTGCGTTGACGAATCAGCGATTGCGCATGTTCTGCAAGACGAGTGGCTGCATTAAATTGCAAGCCGTTCTGGTTTTTGGTAGGACACTCAGCGAATGTTGGAGAATATTGTGCTTGCCAGGGACGTCTCCGTTCAACATGGGCGATAATTCGGCCGAGAACATCGTTCGGCTCCAGTTCGACCTCATCATTCTATGTATATCTTCGGTACGCATCGATCGATAGGCTTCTGAGCCCTCCAGCTGCCAAGGCCGACGGCGACTTCGACACACGACTAGGCACTGCGGAGGCCCGCATGCCAGCCCAATATACATGTAAGTCCCATTCTTGGCAGTATGTTCTATAGCCTGTGCTTATTGCTGTGCTCCGTGTTTGTTTACAAGTCGTGTGTATAACATGCCAGGTTCGAGGCGACGACATCCTACCGCTAGCACTGGAATGGCACCCCCACCCCTTGGGCTGCAATACTATGGTCGTTACAGAGCGCGTGCTCTACGATGGAAAGACGCAGCTGGTCAGCTGGAATATCGTTTTGCTGGACATACAAAATATACTGTTTGGTATATGTATATCACAGGCATGTCGCATTACGTCATCAAAATACTGACCTGCAACCAATGGCAATGTTCTGAGGCGCGCTGCTCATTGCCGTTGCGTCATGGAATGGCTCGTTGTTGACCTATTCCTAGGGGCAAGCCCGTCGCCCGATAAAATACTGCGGCTTGGCTGTAGGATCACACCTAGTAAAGCAGCCTTGTACCACCAACGTTGAAACCAACCCCGGCTCCCTTATAGCAGAAAATTGTTATCCTAAATCCCAAATTGCCTTCGTTATTCGAGCGTAATTACTCAACCAGGACAGAAAAAACATCGGAAAATATTGTCAGATGTAGACCCGACTTTGTCGGTTTATTGATGGGTTTATGTGAGATTTTGACTCTTTTTTGGTCAACTTTTAAATAAATAAAATTGCCGAATTTGGTGGAGAGTATCAGTTTTTTGTCATGACTGATGCCAGTAAGTAATAACATACTTATGGTTGGAGGGAGTACACTTTCTGCCCAAATATGCGGACAGTGGCAGTGACAACAGCATTGTGTTCCCGAAGGTCCACGGGCTTCATTTTGGATATGGGAACACAGGCTTTTTTTAATGGGGGAGAGGGAAGAGGGGGGAAAAGAAAAGAAAAGAAAACTAGGTAGCCAAACCACATGCAGCGGGCACTTCAGTCGCTAGGGCATCCACTCGATTTTCATCAATAACATCACGCAGTAAATAATGACACCCGTTTTTTGTTCCGTAACTTGACAACTCTTCCACTGTCCAACTTGTATACCGTTCTAGTTATACATGTTTCCTCCACCATCCAACCGAATTTTTTTTAAAAATAAAATAAAATAAAAGAACGGCAGGAACACGACAGGGGAAAAGTCTATCTTGTGTCGTGCTATTCTAAGCCAGCGGCGCACGCTTTGAATGGATATCCCATAGTATCGGTAGCTCAGAATTTTCTAACTCGGTTTCATTGAGATGAGGCTAGCACTATTGACGACTAGAAAGTGCTATCGGTGCGAGAGCACTGGGTGCAACTTGCTATCTGCATATGCTGGTTTAGTGATTGTAACACGGCGCGTGGATATGATAGGTCACAAGAAATCGTCGAATGTCTACCGTCTTGGTAAAATGCCGAGACGGTTCATTTGTTCTGAACTATATGCTCTACAAAAGGGTAAGCTTATACAGGGTAATATACTGCGTGGTAAATCTACCACCAGCTACATGGAGCACATATACCGGCTTTTTCTTGTTCATAGCCGCAGTCCGTCTACAATTTTTTAAACATAGCCTACGATGAACATTAACTACAAGTTCATGTTACTCCAAGTTGAGTTTACGTTAACTTTATATATTATTTCCGTTGATAACATGTGATTTTTCTATGTCCAAGAGAACGTCACATTTACAGGTTTTAATGGGATACATATATATGTATGTATGTGTGTGTATTTGAATAAACGGATAGAATACTACTTGTAAACCGGGAGTAACTTGTATATCGTGTATCGTTTTATGGGATTTAAACAAAATATGTACGTATGATATTGCTGCTTTGATTGGAATTATGACCATCATTGGCAGTGGCATTTGTTGTCATTGGACTTTCTTTTTCATTTCTTTTTCACACCGAAACCAAACAGCGAGACACCACGAATAAGTTACTGATTCTAGACGCAAGGCTTTTGCAAAATATCGGCCCACAAGGAGTGGCCGCATATAAGAAGCGAATAAACATACAGACATTGAGAAGCTTTACCGAGAGAGTTTATGCCAACAATAAAGGAAAAACCCTGAGAAAATAGCTCGCACATACACGCCCTGAACTTTCCAAGGTTGCAATGATGCCAACTAGCCGCGAATTCGGATACGCGATACGTGCAGTTGCAACAGGCAAAAAAACACCACCGGCGAGCTTCTAATTTTCAGCATTCGCAGAGCCAAATTCCTCAAGAAGAAAGGAAAGCAGGAGGCCAAAATACAGGGCTCTCCACCTCCGTGCATTTTCATGACTGCGAAGGACGTACGTAGCAGGTTGTGCTTTCCGAAATGCAACCGACCTCGTGCACCGGCTTGTTGCGACCCGGGTCGTGCTTCTGCAGCCGCATCCCCTCATTACATCCCTCTACCCAGTAAGAGGGTCAGAGGCACTGAGGTTCTGCAAGTACATTAGAAAACCATAAGCCACCTTGCTGACGTGAGCAAAAGATTGGTTGCCGTGGTGCTTCTGCGCCGTCTTCTCTGTATCTTCTATGCAAAGCGGTCATCATGCGAGGGTAGGTCGGCGAGGTCGGCTGCGACCACTAGCGCCGCTGGCGAATAGGGCGCCCTCGAGACGCAATGCCGGACAACGTCGGGTCCTGCCAACGAATAGGGGCGACACGGGATGCGGACACAAACTCGGTGCATTTTATACCAGCAATCGTGTCATAAACCATGCCGCCAATGTGCGAGACTGACACGTCGCCATAGGCCGTACTGGGTGACCGGACCCGAATTGTAGGTCAGGGGATTCACTGGGCCGCGCTTTCAGCACTGCTAAGACTGGCGTTTTATTACCCGCCGTGGTCAGTTCGTCTGCCGTCCTCTGGCCTGACCTTTCTCGTTGAACATTTCGTCTTGCGAGAGAGAGACCGCACACCTCGTATGCCACATACTGAGGCCTCGTAGTACGAACGGACACAGCATAGGACCACCCGTAGACTGACATGGTGGTCTGGCAGGTGGCCTACACGTCGTGGGACGCATCGTCCGCTGTACTTGTAACCTACTTAACTTGCTCGAGCAATGGGCCTGGCCTTCTGCTGCACTGTCTATTTGGCGAGCAAGCGGGCGCTTCCAGTGGCATAGAGTGAGTCGAGTTGAGGCAGTAGCTGGCTTGCTGTGCGCGGAAAGGCTTGGTGTACTGTGGTTATGGTGGTGTCGAAATAAAAGAGTGATCTTGGCCCAGCAAAGAATATCAAGCAGCGACCAATTCGCGTTGCAAATAAATAACTTGATTTTGCCTACTAACCTGCCCTGAAACCTCTGTTCCTGCCTCGCATTCTCCTATTCCTCGCAAGGCGGGAAGGCATGCTTATTGTAGCGTACCAGCAGCCCAATCGCTAACCCGTCTAGGTTAGTTGACAGAAAGGGATGTTACAGGGTAAGTGCGTGGAGGAGGGGCTTGGGGATTTTAGATCGCCTTCTCGCCTTCAAAGCGTTGGGCGACCATCGGGGCGAGACGCAACTACTTGGGGATTCGGGAAGGAGCAGGCAATGGCGAAAGGCCCCTGGAACGGACGCAGGGCGGCAAGGAGAGACTGCGCAAATCCAAGCCATGCGGCGCATGAAAATGGAAAGCCAGGCAACCTGCTGTCCAATAATGGAGGGGGAAACGACTAAGCGGCCTATGTGCACAGGGGGAGAAGCACCCCGCTGCTGGCCATCCTTTGCGAGGCCTATATCCCACAGTCTGTCGCTCCCCTTCGGGCAAACCCCTTTTGACGCTCCTTGCACTGCGCCCTTTCCCCAAAGGCTGTGCTGGGTCGTCAGGCTCGTCGTGATGGAATCTGATTAGCAAAATGGATCGAGGCTGCCCCTTTATTAATAACCCGAAGTGTCCGGCCAAAGAGGAAGACGTCCGCAGCCCTCTCTTGGTCTGTTTTCTTTTTCTTCTCTTGTTTTCGCATGTTTTCTTTTCTTTCTTCACCTTTTTTGATATAGTATTTTCTTCTTCGTCTAAACGTTCTCTCAGCAATTTACACCATCAGTACGTGTCTACTGAACCTTGGCTGGCGATCTAAACTTTATTCAGCTTACAGACCAGCGTCTGTAATCGAGCGAGGCCTGGCCAAGCCCAGCCTGCAAAGAAAGATATGGTGGCCAAGTTCTAGCCTGGGTGGCCTCTACAATATCTTCCGACGCACGCTAACACACCTTGTGCCATCGCCCAGAGGTGGCCTTGCTTGTTTCTTTGTCAGGCTCGGCTAGGCCTGCAACGATACCTATTCGTATTACAGTGCAGATTTTCGCTTTTTATTCTCCAGGGCTCCTTCCTGCTCCCGTATTCCGCACCTGCACTTTCTTTCTTCTCCTCACTTCGACTCGGAGACCTCGCCCTCACTGTTGCCCTCGTTCGTACCCTCGCCATCAATTCTGGTGCCAATCCCGCGTTTCCACCGTTCTTGAGTATACCATCACGACCGGGTCCTTCTACACATTTACGCCACTGTCCTCCGTTGTCGCCGCCATGGACTACACGCACCAGTTCTTTGCGGGCAACCAGCCCTTCCAGCACCAGTTCATCGGTATTCCCCCGGTTACCCCGTCCCACTCCAATTCTGCCACCTCCGACGACTACGCGACAACATCACCACCGGTGAGTTGTTTTTTTTTGTTTTTTTTTTTTTTTTTTTTTTTTTTTTTTTGCTTTTTGGTTCACAGTTATATTCCAGCATCATGAAGGACGAGGGCGTTCTGGATTTGTGTATGAATGAGAGGATTAACTCCCACTTTAAATACTTCGGCCCTCTCGTCCCCCTCCCATCCATCCCTACGTACCCACTCGCTCCAATCTGGGTTGCTTTGCAAATGCTTTGAAAGCGCTTTGCAATCAACCCACACTGTTTTCTCCCCACGCGTTATCGCTTCTGATGGGCTGTCCATGGCCAGGATTTCGTTTGTGGAAGAGTACGCCTGGTGTGGTTCTATGACTTCACTCCTTTTCTAGTACAACTCAACATTTGCTTGCCCAAGGATATCCTGCGCCCCTTCGTGCCGAATCGTATTCCCTTCACCCTTCCGTGAACCTCCGCAGCTCCTTGGTCGTCCCGCCGTATACTTACTTTGTTCTTTCTCGGCGCTACTCCGTAGGAGGGCTTTCATGAGTTTGCCAACGAACATTTCCCGGCGTTTGAGAATTATGGGGTCCAGTTTGCGCCGCAGCAGCCCATCTTTCCCGGCCCACCGACGCCGCCGGGGCAGTCTATATCGCTTAGCGCCGTCCATGGCGGCCAGCAACAGCCGCCTCCGCCACAGCAGCATGCCCCGGTGACATCCGTGCCCGCTACGGGTCCATTAGCACCCACCTCGGCCATGGTCATTGACCAGGATATCCTGTCGACGAAACCCGACCTGGGCATGACCGACGACATTCAGCAACAGCAGGAGCAAAGCCGCAGGGGCGGCTCAAACTCTGACGATGACGAGATGACACCAGCACAGTCACGGCGGAAAGCCCAAAACCGAGCAGCGTACGTCCTATATGTTTCTCCGCTGTCCCGGAACGATGTATTGTTGAAGGAGATATGCATGCTAATGTTCACTGAAAATAGGCAGCGCGCATTCCGTGAACGAAAAGAACGCCATGTTAAGGACCTCGAAACCAAACTCGCAAACCTTGAGGCCTCGCAGAATAAGGCCGTTTCGGAGAACGAGAAGCTGAAGCGAGATCTGCAAAAGGTCAGCACGGAAAATGAGATTCTGCGCGCAACATCTTCTCTGCAGGCTGCTGCTGCGGCCGCCGGCCCATCACCGGGAAGCGATGGCGTCGGGGGCCCGATCCTAACGACCGGTCCGATGACATACAACCCGACCGATTTTTACACCGACCTTCTGTCCAATCACGATATCAAGACGCCGAGCCACCGTATTGCTACATCTGACTCGGGCGAGCGTCTCTTGGGTGCTGGTGCGACGTGGGATCTGATTATTGGCCACGAGTCCTTCAAGCGCGGCTTGATTGACGTGGCTGATATCAGCAATCGGCTTAAGAACCAAGCAAAGTGTGACGGACAGGGTCCTGTTTTTGAAGAGCGTGCCATTTTGAATGCCATCGAGCAGAGCGTTGGAAGCGGCAGCGACTCCCTCCTCTGAAATAGGATTGTACCACGCATAGGCAAGACTGTAACGAAGAAATGGAGTTTGGGTTATCAAAGGAGATTTTATATCTTGGGAATGGCATGTTATTGGATTTCCTCTTTTCTTGTAATTTTTTTTTTTTTTTTTTTTAAAAAAAAAACTAAACTGTCGCCTTTATGCGCGGCACGATTGTGCACTTCCTTGACCACTCTGATATTGTGTTTCGATACTTCACACCACCGCGAATGTTGCGTTCTTCTGTGTTTGACATTTCTGTACGGGGCTATGACATTTGGATCAAACGGCCACAAGAGAAACTTTGCACGGGATTACAGGGGGCAGATTGATGGAAGAATGCGTTACTAAAGAAGGTCACAGACATATGGCTTCCACAATTCGACTTTCCTTTTCATTTATAAAAACGCTACGTTGTAGTTTCAGTGCATTGGACAAAATCAAAATCTAAAAAGGAAAAGAGCCCTGCCTCCACGCGAACACCCATACTATGAAGTAAGACTCATCCGTATACCGGTACAAAAAAAAGAATATAGTGCAAAAAAACAGATCCATAACAACTGAATAGTTACTGACGAAAACAGAAGGAAGAATTAGGAGAGGTTGTAGAAACGAAACGATAGTAGGAAAGCCATGATGATTGCCGTGCCTATTTTCTCTTCTGCACTGTTGTTGTGTCTAGAGAAACGGACGTGGATGATGCTTGGCCGCTCGTTGCACCAGTGGCGGCCTTGTCGGATGATTCGCCCTCAACATGAGGGTGCTTAATTGTCAGGCACCAGATGTCTAGATAGTCACAGATGGTGACAATGACGTCAACGACGAAGGAACCGTACACGCCTACGGCCATACCGAGCATGCAGAACATGTATGCAACCTGGTAGACCCCGTCGCCGAGAGCGCTGGGCCAGCCAAGTTTGAAGGACGACGGAGGCTCGCTACTGCCGAATAGCAGCGGTGCGACTGCCGGCTCAATCCGCCGTAGAAGCGGACCAAGGGAGTCGACGACGCCCCAGGCGAGAGGTAGGACCAGGACATTGTAGTAAGGGAAGGGCAGATGCGAAACATGTGCCGTAATCATCTGGCCAACGGAGTAGGCGTTGATGAGGCCCACAAAGAACACGAAGGGGACTAGGTGGGAGTGCAGGATCTCGGGCTGCAGCACCAAGTACACCACAACAAGGGCCCAGGTGATGGCAAACGGAAGAAGGCCAAGGAAGGGGTGGTTATCGCGGTTGACGCCCTTTCCGACCTCGGCTGCCGTCCCGTGCGCCTTGGCTTCCTTTTGCTCCTTGTGCCACACACGCAGCACCGTGCGGGCCGACTCGGCCGTGTTGTACACCAACACGACCGCCCCCTGCACCATATACCAACCAGTGAAGGATAAGTCCCGCAGCGCTGACGGAACAAGGCCGATAATGCTGGACGGAACGCCAAGCGTAGCCAGCATAGGCTGTTGCCAGAACGAGGCGCCGCCAAGATAACCAGTCAGGGCGTACACCAGGACGAGAATTAAGACGCCTTCGACGGGGCCATTGACGACGCCCAGCGTGAGCGTGTGAGTGTGGTACTCTTCCCATGTCTGAACGTAAAATGCCATGAGGGCTAAGAGTGTTAACTGGATGATCGTGGTCTGCGCAGAGATTACGCGTCATTCACAAAAGTGCACAAAAGTGTCACGTACATGCAAACAAGGTTGCGACTGTCTTCCAGTCCTGGCCCATGTTTTGGGAAGCGGCGAAGATCAGCACCTCGAGGGAGGTATTGAGGGCGTCCACGCCGTGGTCGAAAAGCTCACCGAGAGGGCTGCTCTGGCGCGTGCGTCGACTGATGTTTTCTATTAGCACTGCGTCGTGAGTGAGTTTGTCTCTGCCTACAGGTCACTTACGCTTGCGCACCGTCAACGGCATCAAAGGTCTGGTACAGGAACAGGCCCACAGCCCAGCTGTAGTACACCCACGGCGGGCAGTCCTGGTCGAGCGCCGGGTTGTACCACAACAGCGTGAGGAGATTCGCAACGACGAACATAAAGCCGGAGAGCGTGATGAGATTCGGCGCCATGCCGATAGGAAAGCACGGCAACACGATGTTGTTGTAGAAGGGCTTCAGGATGTACTTGGACGTCAAGCTGTGGTCGACGCCCGAGTACTTGTAAAGCTTGAGCCCCGCAAGGGACTCCTGTCGTAGGTACACCATGGCGACACAGGATAACTGGATGTTGGTGAAGGCTGCGCGGCGATGGCGGAGAGGTGACGTTGTGTCGGTAGCTGTGAGCCCCGTAAAAGAGGAAGAGACAGCTGTTGGAATAAAACTATAAGCTGGCTGTAGCGCGATAGGAAGACCGAAGACTGTGCGGCGTGTAACCTTGTGGCCAAAAAAATAGCAAGGCCTATGATGCGAAGGATGCCAAGCTCTAGGTGATACTCGACTTAAACGTAGGTGCTCAAATAACTTTCGCAAACGGTGAAATAAAAAATGAACAAAAAAGAAATTAATAAAACGACGTGGAGGAAAGGCCAAAGGATGCGTCTTGGGTCGTATCGTGTTATATACACAAAAAGGGCAAAGGCCGAGGATAGTTAAGAGGATAAAACCCGTATCGTGCATGCACGAAAATGGTTTTGCCAAAAAGGAGTTGAAAAAATAGCTTGCATCGCACATGCCCACAAAAATTTGTGAAGATGTTTTGCTGCGCGTAAGTCGCGCGTCACTTAAAATTGGTACCCCCTGCTAAATGATTTTGGACTTTCCGTCCCTGTTTGTTGTTTTGGTACGTCATTGAATGTGACCCACTTTGGAACTTTCCCTCCATCCCTCCCGTGCCTCCCTAGGCCACCTGGCTGCCACAGGCGTCTTTTGATTCGTCCCTGCTTCATCCGGAATAACGACGCACATTGCAGTACAGCGTTGCGCTGTTCGTAGCAAATGATGTATGTACTCCGTTCCCTGCGCTGGGTTTCTATCATTTGCAGATCGGGGGAGGCAATCATGGGGTTTTAAGGAGTCTGACGTTAAAGAGAGCCGTAAATTTTAGCCCGTATATAAAAAAGAGACAACTGCTGATGCAGGTATCTGTCTGATGAAGCCTTGCAAAAGATCTTAAAAACGAGGCGATAATAATATTAAGAAGTCGTGTCTGGCTCCCTTATGAGTGGTACATGCACGTATATTACGCCACGTATGGCCAGACGGTGACTATGAGAGAACTATGTGATAATGTAAGAAAAGCCCTGACAGAAACTGGAATCCAGTTAGGCAATACTGTGCGTCAGGAGGCACTGATTATCAGAAAACGACAAGCTCGTGGTACTGCGGACGTCAAGACATGCGGATGTTGCCGGCCAACAGGTATCTGTCAACTATATATCCATCCTTTCGGTGGGGTTTCAAATTTTCTTTCGTTTTTTTTGTTCTTTAAACATAAAAAAAGTACCTAAAAGGTTATGGCTACCGAGTAGACGCCGCAAATCCTCTCCTTCGCAATTTTAAACCCAGTTGTCCGCACAGAGACGTCGATCCAAGCAGTTTTTTTATTTGCCCGGAGTACCCTCCTGGCCCTCCTCGGGCCGCAATACTACATCTTCTCCTGCTGACTGGCCACTTAACGGGTGTTAGGGGCCACCCGCGCCTGCGCACCCTTGCTACCCTGCTTGCTCTGGATGCTGCGCTGGGCCTGGCCCTTGGCGGCAGCAGAAGCCTTCTTGGCCTTCTCGGCCTTCTTCACCTTCTCAGCCTCGGCCTTCTTGGACTTGATGTCCGACAGGTGGGCGGCGCGCTGGGCAGCACGCGCCTCGGGGCGCATAGACCGGCGCTCCTTGATCACATCGAGAGAAGCACCGACGATAGCACGCTGAGACTTGACTGTCCGGCGAGAGCGCTTCTTGGCAACCTCCTAGAGGGTTGTTAATACATGGCCGTTGTCAAGGGTGTCGATGGGGATTATTCGTGTCGTCGTTGCGGTCCTGCGGTCTCATGACTGGCTCGTGCGTTTATCTGCGATTGTCTCTTGCGAATGTTGTGGTCTCTCGAGGCTCGAAGTGTTGCAAGAGTCGTACTACCGCAGGCCCATGGACTCGTATAGATCGGATAGCTAAATCTTACCTCAGAGATACCCTTGCGGTGCTGGCGACGGAACAGAACAGTCCAGGAGATGCGGCGGGGGTTCTTGCGCTGCAGGAACAGAGACTCGGACTTGCCGTTCTGGAAACGGAAGATCTTGCTGTCGCCACGGACGAAGAGCTTACCCTGTAGCAAGGGAGAGCAAAAGCAGTCAGCATACGTATTCAGTCATCGTCGACGTCGGTTCCCCCCTCAGGCGCGCCCATTAAATGTCAAGGTCGAGCCCGCCCCCGCTGAAGTCCATTTGCCTCTAATGATCGTTCATTCACAACAAGGTTGGCAAAACTATGCCCCCCGGGTATTCCAACTCTTTATATCGGCGAAACAAAAAGGAACGGTTGGACTTTGGGACGGGTCTCGTGGGTCGTCGTTGTCGTCGTTGTCGTCGTTGTCGTCGTTGTGGCCGTGTCTTTCCGGAGTTGTCGTTCCATCCAGCAACCTGCCTCCCCCAACCTGCGGACTTCTTCATCACGGACGAAGTTTCGACTATCGAAGTCACGTACCTTGCCGGGGTAAATCTTCTGGCCCGAAAACGTATCGTCGTAGATTCTCATTTTGGCGATTTGTCGAATGTGTCGGTGATCGTTGGTGGTTGATGTAGATTCGACAGTTTTGGACAGGGAGACGAAAATTCGTTTAGTGATGGAAAATTGGCTAGTTTTCGGATTTGGACAAAAATTGTTGTGCGTGTCTCGACTCCACTACACGTATGTGATTGGCTGCACGTCCAAAAAGTGGGACGCATCTCTCAAGTTTTCACTTTGGTCACGTGTGATTATATAATAACTCAAGATTGAACTTGAGTGAACCATATGGGGTAAATTACTGTACTCCATACTGTAGTCTTTTCCCCTTTAAGCTACAAGGCTGACGACACTATTGTCTAAATGACTGATTACCGGGGATGAAAGAGTACAGTACCAGGTCATGAGGTCGACGCCAAGGGGCACCTAGATCAAGTTGAGGCTCCTTACCGGTCATAGCCCTCCCCCAGTCACGCAATGGCCCAAGCCGACTCTATTGCAAAGGCCGTTCTTGAAGAGTTTGACAGGCTTCCTACGAACCGGAAACCGGCCGTACGCTCAAATGGTATCCGTGAGTGGGTGCCATTGAGTGGGATCGTAGCTGAACGTATGTGCTCAATCTGAGAAACCAGCATCACCAACCTCTCGGAGTGAACTGTCACCTGACTAAATTTGATATTTCCTTTACACAGTGGCTGATGGCCAGCTCGTTTGTGTTGCTCTGGCGTAAGTTTCTCCCTGTATGCAGGTTTCCTTAAAGAGCTGTGATATTAACTTTGACAACATACAGAACAGGCATGAAATGTCTTCCTTCATCGAAGCTATCCAAGTCCAAAGGTGTGGGCATTCACGACTGGCACGCTGAGGTGCTTGCTTTGCGCGCTTTCAACCGGTTTATTTTGCAGGAGTGTCGCGATGTGCTGCTTCAGGGCGATGAGTCTCCATTTGTACGGTTTCGGCACGACGGCAATAGCCCAGCGAAAAGAGGCGATGGCACAGATATCACCTGGAGTGGCCAGCTGTTTGAGTGGCGCAATGATGTTGTCTTGCATATGTACTGCTCAGAAGCCCCTTGTAAGATTACCTGTCGGTCCAAATCAGGAGACACAGATACGGGGCAAGTGACCGGTTCTAATATACATACGTTGCTAACACCATGGGAAGGTGGTGATGCTAGCATGGAGCTGACCATGGCTGCCCAAGAGGACGCTTCGCCTTGGGATGCACCAATAACAGCTGAAGAGGATGCGCCGGGCAGCTTGCGCTTGCTCTCGGGTCGTGGATTTTTCTCACGACTTGGCACAGTACGGAGGAAGCCAGGTCGCGCCGATGCACCGCCGACATTATCCAAGTCATGTTCCGACAAGTTGGCCCTTCGCCAGTGTACGACACTACTGAGTGGATTTGCGACGCTGTTCGTTACGCCTAGCACAGGACTATACCTCCGCTCTGTCGTTTTGCCATCGTCGCAGTATTCAGAGACGGGCTGCCGCCGTTGCTTCTCTGCCGAGACCGATGTCGGCCGACTGGCTCCGGTGGCAGAACGTATCTGGCCCAGACCATATGCGTTTGTGCCATTTGCGGTGAATACAACTGATCTCGAGTTTGCATTTTCCACACGACATCCCTCTATGATCTCGACCAAGAATGCAAGCAGCAATCTCGCGGTCGCATGGACCCTCAACGGTATCAACGAATGTTTGGTGAATGGTGTCCTCCGTGGGCGTAAAGAATTTGACCCGACTGGTGCCAGTGCTGTCTCGAGGCGTCAGATGTGGAAGCTGGCACAGCAAGTCGCCACGATGGTCATGGACAATGCTCAGGGTTCTGATGATACTAAGCGGCCCGAAGAGAAGACGCTTCAAAGGCTGTTTGACTGCAAAACGTATAGCGCTCTCAAAGCTTCTCCTTCACTTGCTGCACGACGAGCGGTGAAGGATGATGTCAAGAACCTCGCATTGATGGGATGGACGCCAAACGAAAACGACGGAAACTGGGGATTGGACACTATATAGGGCCATATGAAGCATACGAATATGAATATGGGTTTGGATATGGATATGGATATGGATATAGATATAGATATGAAAACGACGGCGTTTGGTAGATAACCGAAAGATGGCATTGGTAAGGAGTAAAAGAATTGAAGGCGAAGAAAAACGACATGTCCCCTGCCACCGGAAAAAAAATACAGGTAGGCGAATTTCTGTCTTGTGAGGAAACAAGAAACCGCGCTCAATCTCGAAGCCTGGCAGTTGCTTTCAATTTTTATTATTTTTTTTGTTTCCTTGCGTCCTAGAGAAACATCTACTGATGCCCAAATTTGGCCAGTTGGTGTCTTCATGCAACTTTCTCAACGACACTGGACAGTATTTTTCTTTTGTTTACTCGACCTTGTCCTCAAACGTGCGGTCAACCAGGTCCGGGATAGCATCGTCATCTTCGGCCTCCGGAGCAGCGCCGTCCTTCTTGGCGTCCTCGTCGGCCTTCTGGAGGCTCTGGTAGCTCTCGGCCAACTTGCGCAGAGAGGCCAGAGAGTCGGGACCCAGCTGGTTCAGGATACCAGGGACGAGCTCAGTCAGCTCCTTGTCCTCGCCGTTGCCGTAGATGGCAAAGGTGTTGGAGGGGACGGAAGCGTGGACTATTGAGGAGGAAAGGGGGAAGAGAGCAGTTAGTCGGACTGTTCTAAAAGCACGTGCGTAGCAGGTGGGCCATATCGATGGGATAGCAGTAGACTTACCCTTGGGGGCAGCAAAGTGGATGACGTTGCCGTCGCTCTTGAACATGTTGACCTCCTCGATCTGGGTGATGGGCTGGACGTTGAGCTTCTTCAGGGACGCCTGCAGCTTCTTGTCGTCGGCAGCTGACCGGGGCGGCGCACGCTTGACCTTTCTCCGGGGGGTACCCTTGCCACCGATACGCGACACAGCGCCAAGCTTCTTCAGACGTTCCTGGATGTCGGCCATGATTGCGGTTGAGAGAACGGAGGGATGGGTCAACTCGGAGCCACGGTGGATGATTACAAAATGTCTGCGATAGGGCTTAGGTTAGTAGCTAGGTCGATATACAGTCGGTTGCAACTCGAGATACGCGAGACCGGAGACGCTCATGATGTCGAGGCGACAGCATGGAGGAAGAGAAAAAGGCAGCGCCATAAAATATGATGAGAGACCAGACGAGGTTGTATCACGGATGTATAGGACGGTATCGTATGGGATAGATGTACGCCGGGAAACGCTGCAAGGCAACGGACCGAGATGATGCAAGGTAAAGCAAGGTGATGCCAGGTAAGGTGTGCGACGAGGAGTATGAAGCTCAAAGAAGCAAAGAGAGGTATGCAGGAAGCCAATTGGACTGAGGGTGTGAGATCCTCGGACGGGTAGCTGATGCGCAGGGAGACCGGACGAGGGGTAGTCGTGCACATCGCGGCCGGCAAGCATGACATGCTCTTCGGGGTCAAGAACGGCGTTTAGGAATGGCGAAAGCAGGAGGAGTTGGCAAGGTTCAAAGGAGGGATGTATAGACCCAAGGACAGAGATACTGGATTTTCGGGACTCGCCATGTGATTGATCGGTGCGTCGGCTGGGGTGCAGTACCTACCAAAGAGGGTGTGGACAAAAATCAATTGACCGTCGTCGTCGTCGTCGTCTTCGTCGGTTCGGTGGACACGGGGGAGGTGAAGCAGCGAAATGGAGAGGCGGATGCCGGAAGAATGTTGGAAGGGGATGGAAAAAGAAAATCGGAGAGCACGAGTAGCGAGTTTTTGCGTGCTGCGGCGGTTATTCCGGTGGTGCTGGGCCTTGGGGATCGGTGAGGAGGGCGATAAAATGTGCGTCAGTCCGGGCGGGAAGGTGCAAGTGGTCAATTTTTGTCCTAATTTTTTTTTCTCTTGACAGGCTGCTGGCGTTTTGCTTAGAAGTACGCACACAATAATTTTCACTGGCGAGCTGGGGGCCAGCCCCACCAGTAGACAGCCCGTCGTCGGTCCACCCCCGCTCTGTGTTATGGGCGCAAAGTGAATATCTAGAAGACGGTCTTTGAATTGTGGCTGGTGACTGTGGCGCTTAGTTCCAGCTATTCTTAGCGCCAACCGGTCCAAGGTGAAGCAACGTATGAAATTGATTTGCATGAGACGGAAAGTTTGTTTGTATGAGAGTAGAAATGTATCTTGTGTTTTGCGCATGCATACATGCACCCAGCCCGTAACCAACGCCGCCCAGTTCATATTGATATGCCCGTTTTTGAACCCCAAGACAGGATGCGACTATTCTCATCGCCGCCAGATAAAAAAAATCATAAGAGAAAATGAACGCCACAGAAACACAAGGAAGACAAGACGAGTCACGGTAGACTAAAGTGGCACAACGGGCTTGTCATGGATGCCATTAGCGCTTCGTGGTAGTCTCGGGCGGCAGACCGGCTTCCTTGCGCATGGCATCCCGCTGTGCCCTGGCCTCCTCGGCAAGACGCAGGGTCTGTCTCGCCTTGGCTTCTTTGGCATCGCGGGCCTCCTCCTCCTGTACGACCCAGACTGCGACATTGTTAGAGAATAAATGATGAATGAACGAAGACGCATTCTGTAGTGAGAGGTATATCTTGATGATCAGCTATCCTATGACGTGCTGTACATACTGGGCTTGTTGCTCATGGACTGCCGCTTCAGGTTCTGCAGCCATTCGTTGAACTCGGCTTGGCGCTCCTCACGGCGATCTAAACTGCGCTTTTGCAGCTCCGGGTTGTACCTCTGGAACAGCTCCTCGTCGGTCGGCATCACGTAGACGGTCAGCATGGGGCCGCCAACGCACATGATGGCGCCGCTGGAGAGACCTCGTGTTAGCATATGCGCTTTGGTTCTGGGTTTCATACACAGACTGACGCTTGCGAACCAAGGAGGTGAAGGTCTCGCAGCTTACCCGACGAGCATCTTGGCCCAGAGCTTGTAGTTGGTGGGCTTTTTGACAGACATCACGACAAGTGGCGCAGCCAGCAGGGGGTCAGCACGGCGTAAGGGAGGGCGGATGATGTACGGAGTATCGGTCGATGACGACGTATCCGCGGCGCAAAAATATGAAGTGGCTTGCAAAAATCGAACCCGGCAACGAACTGACGTAGCGCCAACAAAGTAATACAGGCCACCAATTACTCTGTACAATGGATACAATTGGTGCAAATCTTTTCCTTAGCGCGTCCCAAATAACGCCGACGTCCTGCGGGAGCGTGCCGACCTACAAGCTTGTACGCACTACTGGTGTGGGCAGGCACCTGCCCCACGTGACGTGAGCCACCCTGATGGCACGTGACCTCAGGTGGCAGGTCCATTCTTAGCATCGCCACAGTCGATAACATTAGTTAGAGAATACAAGATTCTTACCATTCAGACCATACCACCCACACTTAACAGTAACTCCCCGTTAACTAGACAAAACCCTTATTTTCGTACTTCGTTTTGTCTCGTTTTATTTCGACACTTTACTCTTATCACCCTTACTTTTACACACTTTTACGTACGTCGTAGACGTTATACCCGGTCTTCGATACGACTATTAAACTCTTCGAGATTTTTAACTATTTATTTTATTATTATTTTTAATAATAAAATATACGATAAACTTACTTTTACTACGAATATAATAATAAATTAATTAATTATTATATTTTTATTACTTTTTTAACTACTTTTATATAAACTTTATTTATTAAGTTAATTTTTAAGTCGTACGTTAATTTTACTTTTAATTTAACGTTATTATATTTAACCTTTTTAACTTTTTATACCTATTATTTTAAGTCGAACGTTATAACGTTCTTTAAACCTTTTTATTCCGTTAAAAACGACGTTATTTTTTTTTCCGTTACTTTCGTATATTTTACGTTCGTTATTTATTTTATTATACTCGTTAAAATTACTCTTATTCTTTTTTATTAAATATTTATAACGACTTTAATTAATTAAACCGTTTAATATTTTAATTACGTTTACTTTTTCGACCGTTAATACTATTTTAATTACTTTTACACTTTTTAACGTTAAGTTTATTTTAATCGTTTTTACGTTATTAAATATTAACGTTTTTTTAACCCCGTTTTAATTAACCTCGTTTTTAAATTTACGTTAATTTTATCGTTAACCGATTATCGTAATACTTATATAAACGTATTTATATAAATTATATTTAACGACCCGTTTACGTCTTTTAAGTCCCGTTTACTTTAACTCTCCGTCGAAAATAATAAACCCGGCCTTTTACACCGTAGTACTTATAATAACTTTATTAAGTACGACCTTAACGTCCCGGTTCCGGTACCTTTAATTATTAAAACCGAACTTATTTAATTATAGTTCGGATAACTTATTACGGTCGGTTAAGTCGTTTAACTTATCGTTAATTTAAAACGTAACACCGTCGTAAATTTCGTTATAATTTTTAATATTTTTTACCGTTAATTACTTTAAAATTAACCTTTTAAAAACGTACTTTAAACCACCGACCTTATTTACGGTTCGTCGATTTAAACGTATTTAACCCCGTTTATAAAGATACCGTTAATTATAACGTCGTTATTAATAATAAAACGACCTTTTATATAAACGTTACTATTTTTATTAATAACTTAACTTACTTAACCCGTATATACTTTAAAAAAAAAGTCCTTTTCTTTTAAGTTTAAGTTTTAAACGGTCCCGTTCGTATTTAATATAATTATACTTTTATAAACGACGTACGTCGTTACTTCGAAAATATTAACTTAAACGACGTCTTTCGTTAATTAATAGACCGTTTTTAACTAAACCTTAACGAGGTTCGTGTCTTTTTTAAGTACGTCCGTTTTACTTTAATAAATCTCGTTATAAATTAAAATATTTATATATTCGTATAACTTATAACGTATAAAGTTAAAGTTTATAATCTCGATTATATTAATTAAATAGTTAAAACTTAACGTATATTTTAATCTTAAAATACGATTATTTATTTTTAAGTTTAATAATATAAACACTTTTATTTAAGTTTTAATAGTTTTAATCGATTAATAAACCCGATTAATAACCTACTATTAAAACTTATAATAAACCTTAACTCCCTCGTAAGTAATACTTACACTTTAAATAAAAATAAGTTACTACGACGACTACGTTTTAACCTTACGTTTAACCTTTACCCGTAAACACCCCGTACTAGTCTTACTTATATTAACGCCTTTCCGTATTATGTCTTTATAAAACGTTAACCACTAAACCCGTATAACGTATATTTTTAACGGTCACCGTTAAAGACTATACTTTAACCGACGATAACGAGTAAGACTACGATTACGTCGGTAACGATAATAGTTACCTCGTTATAAAGATTTAAGACTATAAAACCTTACCGGATACTTTATCCGTTAGTTTAACGTTTAAAACCCTTTTTCCGACCTTTTTTAACACTACCGTCTTTACTCCGACCTTAAAGACTTACGTTTATCTTTTTTACTCCGACCGTTTCGAGTCCCGTAACCTACTTTATAAGTATTTACGATAAACTTATAACGTCCCGTTAAAAAACTAATAAATTTTAATAAATCTCGACTATTAAACGAAAAGTATTCGATTATTTTACCGACTTTTATATTTATACTTTTACTCGAACCCTTTTTTTTATTAATAGTCTTAATAACGTAATTATAATATTTTTAACTACCTTTTTTTTTAAGTAACTTATATAATTTTAATAAACTCTTTTAAACTCTTCGTAAGTATTATATACCGATATATACTAAATTACTTTTTACGTTTAAATATTTTTTAACGACGTATAACGGATACCGTTCGTATACTCGTTTTTATTCACCGATATATACGTCGACTTAAAATTTAACTTTTATAAAATATATTTCTTTAAACTTATTCTTACTTATTATTTAACCTTTTTAGTCTTTAATATTTATACCGATACGGGATACGGACGTTCTTTTATTAATAATAAGTAGTTTTTTAAATATTATTTATAATTTAACTATCGTTAATATTTTATTCCTTTTATTAATAGTAATATCGACGACTTAATCGTTTTTTTTACTTATTACGTTATCTTCCTTTTCCGTTTCGTCGGTATACGTTTTAATAATATTAAAATACTCGTAACCTTCGATTATAAAGTTTTAGTCGTTAATAATTTAAACGTTTTACTTTTTATAAAACTTAATATATTCGTTTTTAAACGTTACGTTATTAACCTTAACCGTTTTATAACCTTTATTTTTATTTATAACGTTATTATACTTATATTTCCTTACCGTTTCTTACTTAATCGTTAAAAGTATTCCGTTAAAATTACGGACGTTATAACTATTTAACTTTAACACTACGTTTTACTTTCCGTCTTATACGACTTAAAGTTAAACTTAAACGTTTTTAGTATTTTCGAACCCGTTAACGGTCTTTTTATAAACGTATTTACGTTACTTACTTACTTTTATTTTATCGTTTTAATCTTTAACACCTTCTTTTTTAAAGTATACTTAACCCTCGAAACCACCGTAAAATATTTTTTTTTTTAACCGTCGACGTTTTACTTACCGTTACTTTATAATATTTATTAACTCCGATAGTTTTAGTTTATAAACTTATAACTACTTATCTTTTATTACCCGTATTATATAACACCGTTTTTCTCTTTACTTTTACGTTAACCGTTATAATAAACTTAGTCCGTTTACTATCGGACGTTATAATTTACGACGACTTAATTAACTTATTTACTTTAACTCGACTTATACGTTTTATTTTTAAATTTAACGATATTTTTTAAGATATTAATTTCGTTAATATTCTTTAATTTTAATAATTTACCGTTTCTTTTAAACTTAATTAAACCGACTTTACGTTTAAATACGTACGACTTTATTCTTTTAACGTTAAAGATTAAATAATAGTGGACGATACTTTATTTAAACTTAAACGTTAAAGTAAGATATTACGTACGATATTTATAGTCCCGTTTTCGTTTCCCGTATTCGTCGTTTAAAAAACCGTAAAAAAATAGTTAAAAGACCGTATAATTATCGACGTTTATAAATTAAATAAAATATATTTATTAAATAGTTATTTTATACGTACTTAAAACGAGATTTTAAATACTATTATACGTCGTAATATTAAGTTTATTTTTATTATAAACGTATTAATTTTTTATTATTAATAACGCGTTTACTTTAACTCTCGGTAGGTATTTATTATTACTACCGAAAGCCGTTAATTTACCTTTAATTACACCGTTATAAAGTATAAAAACTTAAATACTTATATTATCCGTTAAATAAATATTATTCTTAACGTTATTAATACCGTTAAAATATATTATAACGACCTCGTCGTTTTAAATAATTCTTTCGACGATTATATCGTTAACTTTAAATAAGTGTTATTACGTTTTAAATATTTTAATATTTTTATAAGTTTTAAAAAGTCTTTTATCGGTTTTTTTAACGTAACGTTTTTCGGTAACGTTTTTAACTATTTTATATTTATAATATATAAAAAACGTTTAAAAGTTATTAAATAACTTAATTTTCTTATATTTCTCGTTTAACTTAAAACCTTTATCGGTATTATAACTTCCTTTCGTAAATACGTTAAACGATTTATATAAATTATAAAACCCCTTTAAAAACGTAAAATAACTATACTCGTCCTTCGTTTTATTAAACCCGGTAAAAGTATCCGGTATTACTTTACGTTAAAGTTAATTATTTAAAAACCACTCCCGGAAAAACGTAAAGTATTTAACACCGTTAAAACTATTATACTTCGTAATATCTCTCTTTTTTTTATAACGTATTAAAACTTTTATTTATAAAATTCGACTTTAACTTCGACGGTATCGGTCTTTATCTTTTTTATATAAACGACGTTTACCTCGTTAATATTATAAACGGTTTTAAAGTCGTTAAATATTCGTTAAAGGTCGTAATTTAATTTATCGT